CCCTGTGCTTCCTGCATCCCTGTGCTTCCTGCATCCCTGTGCTCTCTGCATCTCCCTGTGCTTCCTGCATCTCCCTGTGCTCCCTGCATCTCCTGGTGCTTCATCCGTCTCCCTGTGCTTCCTGCATCCCTGTGCTCCCTGCATCCCTGTGCTTCCTGCATCTCCCTGTGCTTCCTGCATCTCCCAGCACTCCCTGCATCTCCCTGCACTGCTTCCATCTCCCGGCGCTTCCTGCATCTTCCTGCACTCCCTCCATCTTCCTGCATTCCCTCCATCTCCCGCTGCTTCCTCCATTTTCTGGCACTCCCTCCATTTTCTGTTGCTCCCTCCATCTCCCGGTGCTTCCTCCATTTTCTGGCATTCCCTCCATTTTCTGTTGCTCCCTCCATCTCCCGGTGCTTCCTCCATTTTCTGGCACTCCCTCCATTTTCTGGCATTCCCTCCATTTTCTGTTGCTCCCTCCATCTCCCGGTGCTTCCTCCATTTTCTGGCATTCCCTCCATTTACTGGCATTCTCTCCATTTTCTGGTGCTCCCTTCATCCTCCTGCACTCCCTCCATGTCCCTGCACTCCCTCCATGTCCCTGCACTCCCTCCATTTTCTGCTGCTCCCTCCATTTTCTGCTGCTCCCTCCTTTCTCCTGTGATCTCTCCATGTCCCTGCATTCCCTCCATTTCCCTGCACTCCCTCCATCTCCCTGCGTTCCCTCCATTTTCCGCTGCTCCCTCCATCCTCCTGTGAGCTCTCTGTCTCCCTGCACTCCCTCCATCCCTCCTGCTCTCTGCACTTCTGCAGCGCTCTCTCCATCCCCTGCTTCCCCCATCCCTGTGTTCCCCATCCCTGCTTTCCCGGTGCCCCTTGCACCTAGCCCCTCTCCCCGGCTGCTCTCCGTGTCCCCTGCGCAGAACCGGCCCCGATGACTCCCGGGGGGCGCAGAGCCCCGGGGCCCTGACAGCCCCGGTCCCCGTGCACGGCCGGCCCCCCGGACGGACCCGTCGCGCTGTGCGGTGCCGGTGCCGGTGCCGCTGTGCCCGGGGTTGTGCACCACGTCCCTCGGGACGGGGCAGGGGGACCCCCGTGCGCTTCCCTGCTCCCCGGGGAGCAGCGGGAAAGGGGGAGCCGCCCTCCCCTTGGGGACGGACGTGTGTGTGTGTGTATCTGTCCATATGGAGGGGCTGCTGTGTGTGTATGTGCCCGTATATAGGGGCTGCTGCGTGTGTGTGTGCCCGTATATAGGGGCTGCTGCGTGTGTGTGTGTATCTGTCCGTATATAGGGGCTGCTGCGTGTGTGTGTGTGTATCTGTCCATATGGAGGGGCTGCTGTGTGTGTGTGTGCCCATACATAGGGGCTGCTGTGTGTGTGTGTGTGTATCTGTCCATATGGAGGGGCTGCTGTGTGTGTATGTGCCCGTATATAGGGGCTGCTGTGTGTGTGTGTGTGTATCTGTCCATACGTAGGGGCTGCTGCGTGTGTGTGTGCCCGTATATAGGGGCTGCTGCGTGTGTGTGTGTGTGTGCCCGTATATAGGGGCTGCTGTGTGTGTGTGTATCTGTCCGTATATAGGGGCTGCTGCGTGTGTGTGTGCCCGTATATAGGGGCTGCTGTGTGTGTGTGTATCTGTCCATATGGAGGGGCTGCTGTGTGTGTATGTGCCCGTACATAGGGGCTGCTGTGTGTGTGTGTGTGTATCTGTCCATACGTAGGGGCTGCTGCGTGTGTGTGTGCCCGTATATAGGGGCTGCTGTGTGTGTGTGTGTGTGCCCGTATATAGGGGCTGCTGTGTGTGTGTGTGCCC